TGTCTCTACAGTAGATGGTTCACATATGCCCATTGCTGGGAAGGAGACAGTTAGAGTGACCAATGACATAAATCTGTCTTTTGTTTTACATGTCCCTAGACTTCATACCAACCTACTGTCTGTTAGTTCTTTGACAAAAAATTTGAATTGTTCCGTGACATTTCTTCCTGGTAATTGTGTTTTGTAGGATCTGGAGTCAAAGAAGATGATTGGGAGTGGTCGTGAGGTGAATGGAGTCTACCTTTCTTCCTGGTAATTGTGTTTTGTAGAATCTGGAGTCAAAGAAGATGATTGGGAGTGGTCGTGAGGTGAATGGAGTCTACCTTTTGGATGAGATTCTGAGACACCCAGGCCATCATGTTAGCAGCAACAGTAGTAGTGGGTCAGAGTCGGTGAACCAGATTATGCTTTGGCACAATCGCTTGGGACATATTTCTTTTAGTTCWTTGAAATGTCTTTTCCCAAAGTTGTTTGAGTCTGTTCAGTTATCTACTTTGGAGTGTGAGAGTTGTCATTTAGGAAAGCATTGTAGACAGTCTTTTAAACCAAGTAATAAAAGAAGTAATGCTTTTAATATTGTTCACACTGATGTATGGGGGTCATATTATATCCCTTCCATGGGAGGATTCCGTTACTTTCTCTTGTTTGTGGATGATTATACACAATATTCTTGGATATATTTGATGAGATCACGCGATGAGGTTCCTAACTTGGTACGATAGTTCCACCAGATGATTCTCACACAATTTAGAGTGAGAACTAAGGCTTTTAGATCAGATAATGCCAGAGAGTACTTTGAGAAGGACCTGACCACGCATCTCTTAGAACATGGTGTAGTTCATTAGAGCAGTTGTGCATATACACAATAACAGAATGGAGTTGCTGAGAGAAAAAACAGACACATTGTGGAGGTGGCAAGGAGTCTTATGGTGTGTGATTCAGTTCCTGTGTAGTTTTGGGGAGATGCAGTTCCTACAGCTGTGAATTTGATTAACCGTGTTCCTTCATGGACTTTGGGGTTTAAGGTGCCATTTAGTCTTCTTTTTCTAGATGGGGAGATATTTCATATACCTCTGAGGGTTTTTGGCTGTGTTTCTTTTGTTCACATTCTTGGCTCTCATCGCATGAAATTGGATCCTAAGGCCAAGAAATGTGTTTTTCTTGGGTATGCTCAGAACCAAAAGGGGTATTGCTGTTATGACTTAGTGTCGAGGAGCAGATTTGTCACTATGGATGTTACCTTCTTTGAATCCACCTTCTCGAGTGGTTCTCTTTAGGGGGAGAGTTTTGAGGAGGAGAACTCACAATCTGTTCCTCTTCTTGTTTCTTTGGTGCCTCCATCAGTTTAGCCAGCACCAGCACCTCCATCAGTTCAGCCAGCACCAGCACCTCTAGTTTCATTACCTAAGCCACTACGGGTAGCCTCACAGAAATATCAATGCCGATAGATGATGGTTGACTCCACACATCCTCAACCCACACCACTCTCTGTCAGTCATTCTGAAACTCCAGATTCGGCAGATACAGTTCCAGGTATTCCTCTTGAGCCTAAAGCTTGTTATGTTTTTTGATGATAATGTTCCTGTCCCTAACACCATTGTTGCAGTTGATCCCACTGACCTTGATCTTCCCATTGCACTTCGTAAGGGGAAGAGAAAGTGTACAACCCACTGCATTTCACACCATCTTTCCTACAATGCCTTATCACCCTCTTACCGTGCTTTTCTTTTTTCCTTGGATTCTGTGTCTATACCCAGGAATGTTACTAAGGATCTCTCCAAACCTGAGTGGAAAACAACCATGCAAGATGAGATGGATGCTTTGGTCAAAAACCAAACTTGGGAAATAGTTGATCTCCCCCAGACAAGGAGACAGTCGGATGTAGATGGGTATTCACAGTGAAGTACAAGGCCGATGGCGAGATAGAGAGGTACAAGGCAAGGTTGGTAGCAAAAGTGTATACTCAGGCCTATGGTGTTGACTATTTTGAAACCTTTGCAGCAGTAGCTAAGATGAGTTAGTTCGTATCCTTTTATCTCTAACAACCACCTATTCATGGCCCTTGTTCCAACTTGATGCAAAAAATGCCTTCCTCAATGGTGATTTACAGGTGGAGATATATATGGACATTCCAACGGGCTTCTATGAAAATGTTGGTAAAGGAAAGGTGTTCAGACTCAGAAAATATCTGTATGGACTGAAACAGCCACCTAGGGCTTGGTTTGACAGGTCTAGAGGGGCACTCATCCGTTTTGGATACACACAGACACAGTCTGATCACACCCTCTTTGTGAAGAGGAGAGATGCTCTGGTGTCAATTCTGATTGTGTAT